CAAATAATACTTGAAACTGAAAAGAACAAGATACATTTACTTCTAGCTTCTTTCTTTCTTCTTAGGACAGCAAAAGAAAATAGGCTGGCCATGTGACTGTATTTGTTGCAGCCATTACAGTACAGTGCAAAAATGTGCAGAAGCATTTTTAAAGAGAGTCCGACCACAAAAAGGTGTCATCTTTCTGTTGATTTGTTTGACTGTGAAGACAGATAAAGCGAGCCTGTCCTACCACAAAGCATAACCAGGAAATTGAACCAACATTAAAAAAGGGTAACCTCCTTCACAATACTTCTCAAACTGAATGCTAGTTAGTATAAGCTCACTGTAAACATGTAAATATGCAAACACTCAACACATTATTTAACAAACAGTTTCTGCATGTACTTCAATGCAAAAAAAAGATAAAGAAACAATATAGACTGTTTTTCGACACTGCATCAAAATGTAGTAAAAAAAAAAAACCTTGCTAGACAAGGCTTCCTTCTGAAGGGCGTACTGCTTCAGTTAGTCACACATGCCTTAAGGGCATGTAAAGTGCCACTACACAAACCCTGCAGTACAGGAATGCTCCGCTAATTCCAGAAGCACAATCAGAACAGCAGACATCACAATGTATCTGTTTGCAGAGAACAGATGCGATTGATCAGCATCTTACATTGACCAGCATCTTAGAGCTGTGCAGGTGGCAACACTGCTGTTTAAGACTACTGAGTCCATCAATATTAGCTTTTAGGAAATAATTACAATGAACAAACACATTTTTGGTCTTTTCCCCTTTTACATAACGGCTCAGTTTCACAAATAGTGCTTAGACTAAGCCAGGATTAGGCCTTAGTTCAATTAGGGCATTTAAGCAGCTTTTATAAACGTGCCTTACAAAAAAACATTACTGGTGTGCATCTTGAGGTAAAACAATGGGCATTGACAGATTTTATGATATGCCAGTCCAAATTGCTTTCAGTTAAGACAGCTTAAACATGCATTTAAGTCTGAGACTAGCTTAAAGGGTTAGTTCACCCATAAATGAAAATTCTGTCAGTATTTACTCACCCTCATGTTGTTCCAACCCCGTAAGACCTTCGTTCATTTTCGGAACACAAATTAGGATATTTAAGATATTAAGATCGCTCCTGCATACTAGTCCATAGGCTTCTTGAGGGAATGACTCTTGCTGCCATCGGAAAGTCATTAAAGACATCGTTAAAATAGTCCAAGTGACTACAGTGGCTCAATTTTAACTTTATCAAACGACGAGAATACTTTTTGTGCGCAAAAACAAACAAAAATAACGACTTTATTTCAACTATTCACTTCCTTCTCCATGGGCCTGTAGTCAGTTAGCGTAGTGTGATTGCGTAAAGCTACGTCACACGTAGGCTCACTATTGGCCGACGCTGGTCATGTGTGTGATGCGTGTGATGTACAATAACAGAAGCTTACGCTATTAAACTAGTAACCTGACTCGCGCAGAGGGAGAAATAAACGAATAGTTGAAATAAAGTCGTTATTTTTGTTGTTTTTTTGCGCACAAAAGTGTTCTCGTCGTTTGATAAACTTAAGATTGAGCCCCTGTAGTCACTTGGACTGTTTTAACGATGTCTTTAATGACTTTTCGAGGACAGCAAGTCATTCCCTCAAGAAGCCTATGGACTAGTATGCAGGAGTGATCTTAATATCTTAAATATCTTAATTTGTGTTGCGAAGTTGAACGAAGGTCTTACGGGGTTGCAACAACATGAGGGTGAGTAAATATTGACAGAATTGTCATTTTTGGGTGAACTAACCCTTTAAGCCTTGCCTGTCGAACCGGGGGAATACGTGCCAAGTTTAAATATTGACTTAAAACATGTAACACATCATGTTAATATATGCAATATAGTTTATAATAAGCTTTTATAAATGATGTTAATATACAGTATTAATATCTGCCATAACCTAGTCTGGACATCTGCACGTCTTGGTGTTTTAATGCTGACCACTGCTCTGCTTTGGTCCGTTGCTGCTGTGTCAGTATTTATAGATCATGTTCTTAATTAAAACCAGTGGCGTTGCACATCATCACAAACACTTCCCGCGGAGGAGGACAATGACATTGAACAAATGAGCTAATGGATTCATACATGAACAACAAACAAACAAGAAAGAATTTGCTACTATGCAAAAAGTAGTTTCTGTGGATTTATTAAGGGTCCCTATGATACATTTTTATAGTTAATATATTGTTTCTAGTAATGCTCTGCTCTAAAATAAAGTTAATTTCCACTATTTTTTATTTATTTATTTTTTTAGGGATGCACGATATATCGGCCTCCATATCAGTATTGGCCGATAATATATCTTCCTTTTTAATGTTATTGTTATCGGCTCGATAACATTAAAACCGATAAATAATGAATTATTTCCTCCACGTCGATATGCACTGTTCAACATGATGGTTCTGAACTGCTTAAAATATGATTGAAATCACTTCAAAAAAAGAAAATACCGTTAATTGCAACATGTGCAGAGCAAGTCTGTCATAGGCTACATAACATTAACATGAGAACATTATAATTATGTTCTTGACATGGCTTTTAATAGTAAGACATTTGCTTTTGTAATCAGGCTCTCAACAATTTTATACAAACGTGGATTTTGATTTATCTGCCATTATAAAGGTTATCTGCTTTCAAATATAAAAAAAAAATCGGTTATTGTATAGCCGATTTTTTTATATCGGTGCACCTCCACACTTATGTGTTTAGTGTGTGATGACCAATATCCAGAAATGTAATTTAATAATCTTTGCTTGTAACACAATAATAAGGAGTAACGAATAAAAATAAATGTATATGCTTAATCTCTAAATAGTGGTTAAGCATAAATTACTATGTATCCCACAAAAAAAACGTTATTATTTTATGTAAACAATACATTAAATAGACAAATTACCTATGTGAACATGTACCTGTGAAAGAGAAAGGGGGTTTAAAACAATTTTTGGTCGATCTACTAAATTATTACATCAGCAATTTCTATTTTGTAGAGCTTGCTTAGAGTAAAACGTGCTTATTTCAATGAAAGGTTTAAATCAGTTCACAGAATGGTCAAATCACAAATATCTAGAAAGTTAATGTAAAGTTATGGGAATTTATTGGGCTAAAAGAGTAGGAACCCTTTTTATTGCTTATAGCCTACTTTGAATGAACCGCGCAATTGTCATGTTACATTTTTATTATTACATGTTACAAAGACTAAAAAAATATTTCAATAAACAGCCACATGCAATTGCAAAATAAATTGTTATCTCCGTACATCGAATAATCTAGATTTGAACCGGAGGCTGGCTCTATGACAGTGAAAATGTAGGAACTTACTGTGCGTTGAAATGCGTGTTTTGAATAAACAAAATCAGGAAGTGGCATGATCTATTTGAACACAGAGGAAGTCTGAAAACTCGCACCATTGCTTTTGTTCACAAGATTAGTCTCGGTTTTTATCATACAATTCACTTTTCCTGCTAAGCAGCAGACAAACACGCACAATACACGTAAAACATAATACAGGCACAAAATGTAAAGCCATATCTGTAATTACCGTCCATTACAAAAAATACACACGTCAAGTCAAGTGAAATGAAAAGTGATCATACGCTTTGTTTCCCAACAGCCTTTGTAAAGTAACGTAAAAGCTTGATGAATAAATGTGATTTATTTCAAATCTTTAAACTAGAACTTAAAGTAGGCCTATGATTGATCTTTCTCTAAGTTTATTAGGTTGAGAGATTTGTAGCCTACACACTCAGGTTGTCTTTTGTAGCCTCTCATCTCACCTGAGCGCTGAAGGAAACAAACACTCTCTCGCGCCTGGTGTCAGGTTGCATAGAGTAAAGGTAATGCATTTTAATCCATGATTCTTACCTCAATTTCCAGTCAATTCAGTGAAAAGTAAATATAGGGAAACGCTGAAGAACACCCTGCTCAGCGGATCATTGTGAAGATGTGGCGTGTGTCTACATTTTCCGGATTGGCCAATCAGAAGTGTTGCGTTTGACGCGCAGGTTGAGCTCGACTCGACTACGAGAGCGTTGAAGAGGCTCTGCCTACATCTATAAAAGGAATTGATTTCGAGAGAGGAAGGAAGCAGACTAGTTGTGTTATGCCTTTTGCGTTCGCACTGTAGGTTGCTTTCACTTACGTTTTATTATTTATTTTATACTCTGCGGCACTCTGACATTGTTTCGCGAGCGAAACGACAAAACGCTAGTTCTTATGCACTGTATTGTCACAAATAGGGGTAAAGTTGTGTTATGGTATGGGTCATTTTCTAATACACACACACACAAAGTGAGTAAAAACATGTTTAGACCGTAGCCCGATCTACTATAGGCTGATTTTCAGCATTGAAAGAGGAAATGACTATTATCAAAAAATTACCACTTACAAGTTCAGGGGGAAAAGAGTCTTTTCCAATGTGCAGTTTTCTACCATATTAAAAGTTGTTGATTAAAGGAGTAGTTCACTTTAAAAAAAAAACTTTTGCTGATAATTTACTCACCCCCATGTCATGATGTCCATGTCTTTCTTTCTTCAGTCGAAAAGAAATTAAGGTTTTTGATGAAAACATTCCAGGATTTTTCTCCAGATAAATGAACTTCACTGGGAACCAAACAGGTCCAAAAGACAGTTTCAGTGCGAACTGTTCGAAAGGCTTTAAACGATTTCAGACAATGAATAAGGGTCTTGTGAAGCAAAATGATCGCTCAAACCTTTAGAAAACCTTAATTTCTTTTTGACTGAAGAAAGAATGACATGGACATCTTGGATGACACAGGGGTGTGTAAATTATCAGCAAATTATTATTATTATTTTTTTTTAAGTGAACTACTCCTTTAATACCATGAGCCTTTATCAGAATAGGAAATTTGTCTGTAGAGTCAGAAAGTCAGCACTTTTCAAGAATGACCCTTCAGCATATAAAATAACCCAGTTTTAATAAAAAACAACATTGAGACTACATGGTTTCAACTTAAAGACTTTATTTGAAGACTTGATAGCCAAGTTTGATTTTCTTTCTGACTGAACTTACAGTGCAGCAAACAGACCGAAAAAAAGGAAGAGAGTGGCAAAATTCATCCTAAATGTAACATTAGGACTGAATCCAGTTTATTCACGTACTGTAGATGTTACATTGACTGTTTCCAGACTTCAGTATGCTACAATATTAGCAAACACAAGAATCCATCATATGGAGTTGTGCTGGATTGAACATCTAAACAGACAGACATCGTCCAACAGTGGGCTCAGCATAGGGGTCTAAACAAAACAGTCCGGGAACGGTGCATCGGCAACTTTATACCACAATCTCGGAGTCGTTTTGTCTTGTTCGTTGAGCAGAGATGTTCTTTGTGCTGAATTCTTGTTTTTTATCCTTTAGTTAAAATTATTTTAATGTAACATAACCTAAAACAGAGGAACAAAACCCACAATAAACTACACTTGAAGGGTCCATTCCTCTCCATGCGGAAACACTTTAGCCCTATAAATGTCAAATACTATCATCATCAAATATAGTACAGGTGGCATTCATTAATACATCTTCTATCATCAATACAACAACAGTTAAAAACCAAGAATGAATGCTGGTCTCCCTGATAGGGTAACGAGAAAGAGGCAGCTTTAGTTCATTCTGAGTCATATCGAGTCAGTCACTCACTGCCGGGTCCCCTTGCAGTTTAATTCAACTTAATTCAACAAAACAAACCACATTCCACAGTCACTGTAAGCAAACAATAAAACTCACTCTAAGCAACCTATAACAGATTGTGTTCTGCTCAACATATGTTCATTTTTATACAAAGCCAACAACGTTTGACCAGTCATATCCATGTATGAGAGAAGATTCATAATTTATCCATGAGACCAGGTGGATAAGGTAGGTTATTGTATGATCTAATGAAACAATATCGACAAGGACACTTTCCCAGAGCTGAGGCATTAGTTTTGTCAGATTTGGCGTTAAACAACAATGGGGAAGAAATGAAGCGTTCCCACAAATGCGACCAAGGCCGTAACCACCATAGACACTGAAATATTTGATCGATATGAGCTTTTTAACTATTTATTTTTAAATTATAACTGGTTCTATGTAGTGACGTTCTTGACCGTCATATTAACATACTGGCATGGAGAGAGCATGGGTACAAAGTGGTAACATTACACCAGAAATTTTCAAAAGGGCTGTAAATTAGTCTCCTACTCATTGACGTGTTCAGAATAAAGATTTCTGGCGGCTTCTTTTTTTTTGTGAGTGATGCAAACGTAATGAATGCCAATTTTGATCGTCTATGTATAGCAGATGATATGTTTAAACCTTTACATTTTGGTTTTGATCCCTGACCAGCATGCCACTATGCTGGGAATTTAAACACTGGTATGTTATTGTATTCTCACTTATCACTTATGCCATCCAAAAATTTAAGAGATGATCTTTTTTTTTCTTTTAAAACAGTACACTAAAATGTCTAGAGTCACTCTGGCTCCATAAGCAAGCAGGGTTAACATACATTTGCACACTTGTACATTATACATACGTACATAAATATACACTTACATCTGTGCATATGTATGTACAAAGACACACTTTAAATGGACTTACATATTTTCTATATGTGTACACATACACAAAGTTACAGCATACATGTTAAGTGCTAGATTTCCATGTATAGCTACTGCAAACCCAGTTTGGCATGCTGGGCTGCCATGGCTACGATAATACTGGTAGGCAGGATAACACAGTTTATGAACAACACATAGTTTACACATTTCCCCCTTGAGGATTAAGGGAGCATGGGTTTGATTCTTCATGTTACGTTTGTTTGGAGACCGTTTGGGTTTCAGCAGCTATGTACAGAGGCAATGCCCACAGTCCAGTGTGAGGCTAGAGAGAATGAGAGAGAGAGAGAGAGAGAGAGAGAGAGAGAGCGGAGCTTGTGCTAGTTAGAAAGCCTCTCGGCCACCACTTATACACTGTCAGTCTGACAGAATGTGCACAAAGGACATTGGGAAGGCCCCTTTCCTTTCAGGCTGCCCCTCTATGTGCCCAATCTGTAAAAAAGGCAGGTTGATGAATGTGACATTATGCCCTAAAACGGCATTAACCATACTAGTAGCAAGCACACGGCACAGACTTACTTACCCACCACTCCTGGTCTTCCTCTCCTGTAACAATTATAACCTCCCCCTCCACAAAAGTCAACTCGTCATCATTATCTGCTTGGCAATCGTAGATGGTTTTCACGCGCCTTATTTTGCTCTTTGCCTGCAAAGAGATGATCTTCAGTTATTTTAGCGTTACACCTGTTGATCTTTTCCAGTATAAACTACCAGTTTGCAGTTGGATGCAAGATTTTGTTAATGTTTTTGAAAGAAGTCTCTTATGCTCACCAAGGCATAGTAAATAAATAACAGTATACACAGTGATATTGTGAAATAATGTGACAATTTAATCTATTTTGATGTATTTTAAAATCTATTTCAAATTTTTCAGCATCATTAAGATTCAAGATTCAAATAGCTTTATTGGCATGGTGAAATAAATCTTTACATTGCCAAAGCACTCTTAACACTATAGAATACAAATAAGTAAATAATTATAAAAATAAATGAATAAATAAAAATAAAGTAGTTTTTTTATGTGGATATAAACATTTCAATAAAAATGTTAAATCTTCTAATATTTACACAGTATCTCTAGGCGCGTAGTTTGTAACTCTGTCATTGCTCCAGTCTTCAGTGTCATATTTGAAGTTCACTCCTCCAAAAATCCACCTAATATGTAGCCTGGCTAACGCCAGACCAAGCATCATTGAGAATGAGGCGTGGTCTGGAAACCACATGTTCATTTTCTCGTATTTGAGGCGTGGTTTACAAATGCCCAGAGCCGTATTATTGGGTGCTACGAATGTCTATCAAATGTGCCTGTACATACAGTAGCTCATAGCCAATCGGTTTAATGATACCAGATGACATATGTAGAGCGACAGAAAATTAGACGAAGAAGAAAACTATGGGTCAGAGATTTAGGAGATTTATGTAAACACAAAGGGTGTATCGAAAGGTAACTTCGCGTCCGCGGTGTACGCCGTCATAGTCTTGCTGCTCCCTCCCCGTTCTGTGATTGGTTCCCAATCTCAGGCGAAAATTTGGTTCATGGTCTCCAGGCTGCCAAGCAGCGTGAATAAAATCGCGCTGCGGCAAGGCTGGATGGGGAAACCCAGGCTACCTAATATGCTGACTTGGTGCTCAAGAATTTTTGGAAGGGCGAACGCCCTATTGTTTTCCTTAGGATACATTTTTTTTTTAAAATGTTCTATCGACTATTCAGGCACTTTTGGGGCCCTTAACATGCTCGAAAACTCTTCAAACTTTGCACATGGGTCAGAACCCGCAGATTGGGCCCGTTATCGCTGCTCGCAGCTATATTTATATATATTTTATATATTATTATCAATGTTGAAAACAGTTGTGCTGCTTAATATTTTTGTGGAAACTGATTTTTTTGAGAACCATGAGTAAAAAGTTCAAAAGAACAGCATTTCTTTGAAATAGAAATCTTCTGTAACATTATAAAAGTCTCTTTTATAAAGACTCTTTTCGGTCACTTTTGATCAATCTAATGTGATCAAACTTTTTTGATTGGTTGAGTATTTAAAAACAAAATAAAATGAGTGCATTTTTTATTATTAATAAAATAATGCCTTTTAAATAGCACTTTTTTTAAAATAGCACTTTTTTCTAAATATTTTGTCGATTTTTTTGTTAGGTTTAAAATGATAAAACAATAGATCTATATAAGTCATGAGATGAGAAAAAATATATATTTGTGTACTTTTTGGGTCCACTGTACATATACAACACTCTCTAAAATATATTTCACTCACTACTGTGTTTATTTTCCGTGGCATCGGGACAGGCATCTCCAAAGCTCCTGCAGGCGCACCATTAGTGTCTTCACTGGCCTGTCTGGGAGAGAGCTCCTCCTGCTGACTGGATGACTGCACCTCCGTCAGCTGGGGCTTCGGGCTGGTTTCCTCCTGTGTCGTTTGCTTCTGTGTGGTCTCAGCTGCTGGAGACATCATAGGCTTGGATGGGAGGTCAGAGAGCTGCGGCTTAGGGGGAAGATCCTTAAGCTGTGGTTTCGGGGGCAGCTCAGAAAGTTGAGGTTTTGGGGGTAAATCCGACAATTGTGGTTTCGGGGGAAGATCAGACAGTTGCGGTTTAGGGGGAAGGTCTGAGATGTGAGGTTTCTGTGGCACCTCTAGGGGCTGAGAGCGTTCTGCGGGTTGTGGGATTTTAGGTGGAGGCTCAGTGGGTCTGGTTATTGTATCTGAAGCTCTGGTGGGAGGCGTGTCCTGGGCATGTGGGGGTTTCTGCAGCACGTCGGGACCAGACTTGTCCATTGAGGGGAGGTGGATTGTGTCAATCTTTCGTAGTGCCACTGAAAAAAGACAGACATGGGCAGGTCAATGTAAAGATAAAAAAATGTAAGTAAATCCATTGTATTTAATGCCATGTTAAATCTACCTTTCTGAGGTAGTTTGGGAAGAACTCTTGGGCCAAATGCTGCTTTTGTGTTCATAGAAGTAGTGCTGAAATCAAAAAGGTCCTGTGATTAATTTCTCTATAACAGACTAGAAAATAAAAACAAAAAACAGTCATGATGGTTTTATGAAGATAACATGAAAATCGGAATGGTCTAAATTTTTTGTTTACAGTTAAGATCTACTGCACATACTGTAAAATGGACAAATGTTTTTTGTGCAATACTGGACTATTCAATGTCTGAATGTCAGTGTATTGCAACACCTTTGCTGCTGCTGAATTCCCTCAAACTTATTGGCCGGGGATGTCCGATTCGCAGAAGGAGGTGTAGAATCACTTCCTATGAGGTTCAAAATAAAAAGGGGGAAGAGGTTTAAAGTGGTTTTGAAGTCCCTGTATTTCATTAAGAGCTTTGGCCATAACTTACACTCTTTGTTTTTATGTCCCAGGAATCTTCATTGATATCACCAAGACATTTTATTTATTTGAATGTTAAAATATCTCCTCAAATCACAGCTTGGTTCAACCAAAAATGAAAATTTTGTAAATTACTCACCCTCATGTCATTACAAAGACTTTTGTTTATCTTCAAAACAAATGAAGAGATTTTAAATGAAATCTGAGAGATTCAGGATCCCTCCATTGACAGTCCACGCAACTACTACTTTGACACTTCAAAATGTTCATAAAGAGAAAGTTCTGTTCATCAAATAAGACAATTTGGACTAAACCGCTCAATTCATATGGAATAGATTTACAATCTCTTTATGATGCCTGTTAATGGAGGGACCAGTATCTCTCAGATTTCATTTAAAATATCTTCATTTGTACTTGAACGAAAGTCTTATGGGTTTGGAATGACATGAGATCGAGTAAACGAAGTTGATTTCTCTGAAAAAATAAATCAAATAAGCTCTGTGGCACTATTAGATCTTCACCAGCCCAATTACCTCAACTAATGGCATACGTTAGCGGCCAACTATTTGTTTATCCAAACAATGAAAGTGTGTTTGGGGAAACCAGTTTGAAAATGGGCACTTTTCACAAATACAGTAGACTTTTGGAGTCCCAAGACTTTTTAAAAATAATTAATGTTGATAAAACAATGTTATAATTTTGACAAACTCATAAATTCATATTTTTATCTAATCATAATAATTAACTCATTTTAATCACTATTTTAATTTGAGTTATTCTGTTAGGTGAAGCTAATAGAACACATTACACATTTTTCCTTTAAACAATTTAAATATGATATTTTCATTTGATACAATGCAACAACACAAACAAAATGAATGATAATTATTAAATTGCAAAGCTCATAAATCGCAAAACAAAATTGCTAATTGCTAAGAAAAACCACTTTAACTCTTATTGTGAGGTGAGTAAAGAGAAAATACTGAAGAAAATGTAACATTAAGTGCTAGTTATATTAATATTTTTGGGGGTTTGATGTGTCAGGCGTCCTCCCAGAAAGCTCTCGGTCTTTGAATATTAACACACTCAAGAACAAGATCCCTAAATCAATTATTCAGAATATCACTTTATTATGTAATGGCCATTTGAGGTCAGGCTGATTCCTACCCACCCATTTCACACCAACACCACCACCACTATGAGCAACAAAACAACAAAATTACAAGAATTTTTCAATGGTGTTGACAGAAAACTTTTGTTTCTGCAATCACAAAATTGAGGTGTTGCCACCTGGACGCACCTTTGCTCTGCGGGCCCTGCAGTACAGGGCTGGGGGGGTCTGAGTGGGTGCGCTTGTGTCCGGGAGGTGGAGGAGGCGCTCTCTTCTTAGACAGAGTGGAGCTGCCTCCTGCACTCGATTGCGATCCCAGCGGCAGGGAGGTGGGCGGTCCAGAGGACGGAGCTGAAAGAGTGACGAGATGACGTGATTGGTCGAGAAGCAAGTGAGGCCCGAGCGCACCGGAACACAAGGGCAAAGACAACACTCCCATTATGTCAGGAGTGATGAGTGTAAAGTGATTTCCAAAAGCACAACCAAAAAAAAAAAAAAGTCAACAAAACGCCAGCTAACATGGTCGCAGAATGCAGGTGCAGGCTGATATTAGATTAGATCAAACGACAGCCAAAGGTTGCACATTCCAGCTCAGTTTGCAAGCAAACAGTGGTTGTGGTGTGAGAGGATGTTTTACAATCACTAAGGGTCAGCCTCAACCGATTGCACATTATACCTCCCCCGCAATTAGAGTTAATGTAAAGACGTCAAGTATAGTACATGCAAACAACTCAACCTATCATCATGTTTTACCTTTCCTGCTACATGGGCTGCTCTTTTTTATCTGCAGCATCATGCATGAAGGCATGTATACCTTTCCCAGTGGTCTTGCTGGCTATTGTGGGCCCCTCTGAAACCGGAGATGCAGGTGTTTCGGTGGAGGTGTTGTAGACGGGGTTGGCAAAGGCTCCGTAGGAGAGTCTCTGTTTGTCCCTGTGTCCTAAATACCCCGGGAGAGACAGCTTCTCCTGAGGGGACACGCTCGAGGAATGACAGAAGCTCTGAGGTCGGGGAGAACGCTCCTTCTTTACCGGACTGGGCTGGAGATGGAAAAATATTACACATCACTTGATTTTAAGGTTAGTCCACAGCCTCTCCAATACCTTGTGATTACAATTGAATGCATTAAGAGGCACTGTGTATATGTGGCGTTGAGGTGGTGCTTTCAGGCACATCCAAGTGTGGTAATATTTTGATTTCGGTTCTCATTTCTCGAGTCATGGATCTTTGCAGATTAGGGTTCCACTTTTATGATGGCATGAAATGTGTTATTTAAAGCGCTACAAGGAACTTGGTTGCTTATCAGATCATTTTGCTTCTGAGTGGCTGACAGCTTTGTTCGCACAGTGGACCAAGAGCATTTTGTTAAAAGACTAATGCGACAACCATTATATATATATATATATATATATATATATATATTCTTATATAGACTTCAGTTATCACAATTTTTATTTGTGCATTACCCTAATGGCAATAATATACTTTTTGTTTTCTACAGAAACTTTTTTGTCAAGTTTTTTTAAATACTATTTTGTTGTGTTTTTGAAGAAACCTGTACATTATCTTAGTTTGATCCAATTAAAAAATATATAACTTTTGTGCTTAGGGATAGTTTAAAGCTTAATTTTAATAACTTCTTGGATAGTTCACCAAAAAAATTAAATTCTGTCATCATTTACTCACCCTCATGTTGTTCCAAACCTGTACGACTTTCGTCCATATTCAGAACACAAATTAAGATCTTTTTGATGAAATCTTAGACCTTCTGTCCTTCCATCAACAGCTACACAACTTTGACACTTCAAAAATTTCCTAAAGAGTTCATAAAACTAATACATTTGAATTGAACAGTTTGGTAGTTCAGTTCAGTTTAGGTGTTGTTTAGTTTAGTTTTCGAGACACGATCGCTTCATATGATGAACAGATTAAATTTAGGCTTGTATTCACATATAAACATTCATCAACTCAACAGTTGTGGTAAACCGAAGCTCAAGCATGTTCGCTTGATGTGTGAGAACCAATGAGGTCTGTTCTCGTGTTAAGCAGCACGTTTGTGCTTCCTCAAGAACCAATGAGGTTTGTTCTCACGCGTCAAGCAGTTACGGTTGAGCTTCTGTTTATATTATTTGAATAAAAGCCTCTTGAATAAAAGTCTCTTCAGAAAATTGTCTCTGCACAGCTCATTTCATATGGATTAGTTTTACGATCTCTTTATGAACCTTTTGAAGCATCAAAGTAGTAGTTGCATAATTGATTTCATCAAAAAGATCTTAATGTGTTCTGCGGATGAATGAAAGTCTTAAAGTTTTAAAACAACATTTACAACAAAGAATTTACGTTTTTTGGGTGAACTAACCCTTTAAGTGTTGCACCATGTTCTATCCAGGTGTGAAGGTACCAGCAACAAGTATTCAGTTATTTACAAAATAACTTATAATACCAATGCTTATTACAGGAGCATGAAGAGGGAGAGTTAGTGGATCTCTAGTATAGGGAGATATTGGACAAAGCAAAAAGTGGGCGCACAAACCTTGTCATCTAGGTCATCGTCACTCTCGTCAATCTCCTCCAGCCGCAGATTCCACTCATACTCCACGTGCACGTGAGGATTAAACCTCCCAGCTGCTGCCTCCATCAGCTGCACAACCAATCACAAACCCATTAACATAATACACGTCTCCTCTGACATTAATGCCAAAAAATAAAGGTCATGTTTTGAACAATTACATGGGTGTATAGTGAAATTACAGGTGGTTGTATGGCAAAATTCTTCTGTAATTACCACAGTGTCAGCAACACAGAAATTAAGCATTGAAGATAAAGTATCACACTCACTAGCTCTTCACACTGTGCATTTTTCATTCGTCTGGCAATGTCCAAAGCAGTCTCCCCATTTTGATTAACTGAAATAAAACACATAAAGCACATAGGTACAGCCTTGCTACTACTATGGCACAGTAATTCAATTTAGAAAAAATATATATATAAAAAATTAGTAATATTATATTAAGTTTGGGGAAAAAACTGACATTTTAAAACTAAGCAAGATGCAAAAATCATTGCCTCCAGGTTAGGTGTGGGGACACCTGTGTATTATTCAGCAGAAATGAAAAGAATTTGAGGAATGAAACTTGAAACTAGAAGATGATCCTCTAAGCATTCAGACCGGCATGTGGGTCCCAGAGGCCTGTATTTACAGCTGAGGTTTTTAAACCTCTGCAAAAGATCCAATAATCTCTTGCAAATCATTCTATGACTTTATATGAAATGTGTGCGTGATGTTAGAAAATGGTTAGTTCCAATCCTTGATTCTGATTGGTCAATAGCTGTGCTTTATTCATGACAAAACACGGCTATGACCGCTTCAGCCAACGGTTCTATCGATCACTGCTCAACACTGCAGTTCCTATGTTGTTTTTATTTGAGCTTTCATGCATATTACACATTGGAACGCTGTTGCTGTTCATGGTCGGGGACTATTTTTTTCTAGCGGAAGGAAGGATTTTAGTGATTTTAATTCATGAAAGTCGCACTAATCCATTTTTTTTTTTTGCTTTAATATTTTTATTGTGTGGTAACCGTTTTATAAAAGCAGTAAAGTACTCGAGGCAAGAGCTGTATTGTGAATAAGTAACGGCTGAAGGGGTTGCAGGTACTCCGCTTCACGTGCATAACAACGCAGTTCAGTCGTTACTTATTCACGATATAGCACAGCCTCTCGTACCTTATTGCTTACTTATACATAGGTTTGGGGTCAGTACGTTTTTTTTAAGAAACTAATACTTTTATTCAGCAAGCATGCATTTAATTGTCATTAAAGGATTTAATTTTTGTCAAATATTAAAATAGAAAGCAGTTCTTTTAAATTGTAATAATATTCCATGCTATTAGTATTTTACTATTTACTATTATATATATATATAATGAATACTGCATTTACACACTTAATCAACAAATTAATATAGATTCTAAATAAAGGAAATATATGTTAATAAATTCACATGGCCAAGCATTGTGGTCTAAACTACAAAGCATTATATTACAAATTATCAGACTTCTATCGTTATTAAAACGTTTATTTACAGCAATTGTAGAATTTTAACTTTAGATAAATATCAAAAATCAGCTGCCTTTATTTATTTTGAAATAACTGCAGATGTTATCTCTGTTGAAACACCATTGCTAAAGATAACCCACTTACCCAGGTCAATAGATGGTTTTCCCCTGAGCAGCAGTTTGAGACACTCTGACTTCTCATATGTGCAGCAGTAATGGAGAGCAGCGTTTCCACTCTCCGTCTGTCTGTCTGGAGTTCCACTGTACACACAGATCCATATTTACCATCTTGCAGCTTAATTATATGCTAATGAGCATCAGTGGACTACTACACACTACAGAATGTTCTGTCCGTTACCTGTTTTGGACAAGAAAGTCCACCAGGTGCAGCGAGGTCTGGTCTGAAATCCGCACAGCAAAGTGCAGCGCTGTCTCTCCCGGGTCCTGTCGACAGTAATTCAGTACCAGAATCAGGACAACATTACTAAAAAATATATTTGCATTCATTTCATTTAAATATGCTATATAGCATACTCTTGCAATTGACCAAAAGCAGGTTTGAGATACTTTAAAACTAATAGTAAGTGGCTTGACAAACCCTTGGGGACCATATTTCTCATCTGACCTGAGGTCAGTTCATATACACTCTGGTAAGTAAATGACTATATATATATATATATATAACTCTAAATAAGAAGCATATAAATCAGTTAATCAATGAAAAACTATTAGACAAAGATCAATACCCGTCCTGCTTCTGGAAATGGATCCATAAGCTCCACTCCATCTGCATAGAGCTGAATAAGAGCCATCAGGTCTCGAGTTCTCACAGCCTCGTACAAGTCGCCCTGTCTGGCTGTGGCTGTAGTGGCTGTCCGCCGAGCAAACCTATGCTCCACGTACTTTGCGTTTATGTACTCCTTCCTCTCAGTCCTAAAATAGTTCATTTCAAAAAGAACATGCTGCTTTACATATGAATTGGTGCATTAACTACTAAACAAAGGGTCATTCCAATAGTTAAAGTCTGTAGTACTATCTGCAATTGTTAATGTATGCTAGGTAAGCTGGTACTCACATGTCACTTGATGGTGTTGGCTTTGGTGAAGGGCTTGGTAGATTCCCTTCTAAAATTTCATTGAAACTACTGTTACCCACATTCTTAGCCAGCTGTAGAAAGATAGCAATCGTATGTCAGTCACTATCATGTTAACAGATCATAGCATACCTATAATTTAGTAATACATTCACCAAAGAGATTGTTAAAAAGTCAACACTTTTTAATTTATACACACACCCACTACCGTTCAAAAATTTGTGGTCCGCAATGATGCATAAAAAAATCGTATGCTCACCAAGGCATATGTATCAGATCAAAAATATAGTAAATCCAGTAATATTGTGAAATGTTATTTTAACTTTTCTATGGTATATTAAAATATTTTAAAAACATTTTGTTATTGTGATGGCAAAGCTGAATTTCAGTATCATACTACAGTCTTCAATGTCACAAGATCCTTCAGAATCATTATAATATGCTGATTTGGTACTCAAGAAACATTTATTATTAGTTGTATAATAACAGTTGTGTTGCTTACTTTTTTGTGGAAACTGTTTATTTTTTCATAATTCTTGGATAAATAGAAAGTAAAAAAAAAAAACTTGTATTTGAAACATTTTAGAGCTCTTTTTACCATCATTTATAATCCATTTAATGCATCTAAGCTGAATAAATTTCTCCACCTCAAAAAAAGACCCTTAAACTTCTAAAAAGGTAGTGTAAATTACAAGATTTACATTCACATTACCAAGAGTTCAGAGGTGCCGAGTTTGTCTAGTTCCATGGACTGGATGCGTGAAATATGGACACCCATTTCCCTGTGGATCCCTGAACACTCAATGCATGTCAGGATGCCAAGGTTAGTGGATAACCATTTAGGCTCTAGAGCAGATAAAATGGGAGAAAATTGGATTTTATATTGTAGTAGATGAGCGCTGTGTCCTACCACTCACTTCTTAGCCACAAGGTGGCGCATGAATCTATGAAACTCACTGCATTGATAAAATGGGGACTGTGTCAGATGCCACTGCTACAAAACTTGGCTAACCTGGTGCTCCACAGTCACAGCAGACTTCATTTCCAGGCATGCGCAGCACATCCTCGATGATGGCTTTGGTCAAGTCTTCCAAACTGTCATCTCCAGCACTCTGCTCCCCACGGAAAGCCATGTTCAGAGCCTCCTCCTTACTGTTGGTCAGCACTGAAATCCATCTGCTCATCACACATGAACATATATATGCATTAATAGCTTGCGCACCACATGTGATAAGTTATGTGAAATACCACACACAAATAAAGATGAAAAACCACACTCTCTAGTTATATCTCATATGTTTATTAATACCATGTCCACAAAGACACGTTTCAGCCTAAGCCATAAGACACCCACACTAGACAGATTTGCACGCGAAGACATATTTATGTATCAATATATGTGCTATACAGATATTTAAATATCAACAGACACACACTAGCTTACTAATCCAAAGCAGAATATATAATACATATAATAACTATAATATAATATATAGACCATTTCACAAGATGTAAACAACACTGGTCCAGAAGCACTTCCTGTTTCAGTTTGTAACTATTTTCTTTATTTCACATGTAAAGAAAACATCTTAAAGATGTTTGTTTAACTTTTTGATTCAGTTTTAAATGTTCTGTTGGTTGTATTTTATCCCAGCTTTTATGTAGTGTTAAAAAACTGAAACAGGAAGTGCTTCTGGACCAGTGTTGTTTACATCTTGTGAAATGGTCTATAATATAATAGTAAAAATATATGAACACACATTATGAAAATTCTATTTGTTTTATTAGTACTAATATTATTTTTACCTAATTCATGTAATGCAAAAAAACTGTGGAAGTTGACATTTTTCATACAATTATTTCTTGTTTTTGGAAGTCTCTTATGCTCACCAAGACTTCACTTTAACTGATTTTAACTGAATTTAATAGATTATAAAATGTAATTTATTCCTGTCATGGGGCAAAGCTGTATATTCGGCATCATTACTCCAGTCTTCAATGTCACATGATCCATCAGAAATCATTCTAATATGCTAATCTGGTGCTGAAGAAACAAATTCTTAATGTTGAAAAGTGTTGTGCTGCTCAATATTTTGTGAAAACGGTGATGTATTGTTTTTGGGTTTCTTTGAGGAAAAGAAAGTTCAATAAAACAGAAAGTTTCGATTTTACGAAAGAGAAATAATTTATAACATCATAAATGTCTTTATTGTGACTTTTTATCTATTTAATAAATAATTGATGGTAGTATATGTTTTCTCTCTTATTTTTTTTAGTTATATGTAGCCCAGTCCTTATATATTCTTCTCCTTAACACAGAGGCACTGATACACTCACATCTTGTTCTCATTCACAAGCACAGAAAAATAACAGATGGTATCAACTCTCGAACTAACACATTCACACTTACATCACAAACTCCTGTTCATCCTCTGCCTGGAAGTGATATGTTCGATTATCTGCAGAGGGAAAGAGGGAAAGAGATTATTAGGGGAAGAAGTGCATTATGTTAACTGCTCTTCAGCCTCTGAACACTGCACTTAGGAGTCTCTGTCTGTGTAATGGAGTTAGACTTCTGGAGGCCTTGCTAGCACTTGGCACGGATGGAAGTACTCTGAAGTTTGGCAGGGGACATAGGTTCTGTGTAGTTACTCACGGGAGATGAGGTCAAAGCACTTCTTATCCTCTCCGCTGGGTTTAACCTGACAGGTCAGCAGATTCAGTCTCACCGGCTGCCTGTTGGACTGGACAGAGTAATTACAGTCAGTTTTGGGGCCAGTTTATGGACTCATCACCAAGGTAAAGGCATTTACCTGGCTAACATAGATGAGATTTTGTGAAAATTGGAAGAGTGACTTGGAAAATCATCAAATGACATGGTTTACCAGTTGCTTATGAGTTTATAGTTTCCATTAAGTCAATGGTGTGTTATTTTATTATTATTATATTCTTATTTTATTTATTTTAGTTTAACTATTATTTATTTGTTTCAAAAAATGTATGGAAAAAATAAACAGGTTTCTTCCTCCCACATAGAAATATGTTGCTGAAATAACAAATTTATACAAATTTACTAAAATTACACAAATTTATATAAATTTGTGTAATTTTAATAAATTTGTATAAATTTGTTATTTCAGCAACATATTTCTATATATATATATATTTGTGTAGTGTTATTATAAGAATAATAAGAGAGATAAGAGAAATAAGAAAACAAAACAATAATAGAGGAGGCTGAACTCAACTTGATTTATATATTAATTGATGCATGTAACTAAAAACATGTCAATATGAGAAGTCATAACAATATTTAATTATATAATTTAGAATATCGTATAAATAATGTTTTTTTTCCATATATTACTGTCTAACTTAAATCCAAGAGAGAATGTTTTGATGAGGAAATAAAAATTAGAAAACCTAAAAAAAGCTCTATAGGGACAAAAGCCTTTGCTGGAAGTAATGTGGTAAAACAGATTGCGATAGCTCCATATTGGTAACAATAACAGCCTTGGTGAAATGGAGGATTGCCAACACAGTTCATGCATGACATGGTCAGCATTGTAGAAATCATACTTCAGAAACATGTGAAAATATTTTTCCGTTTTATAAGAACATTGCCAAAGAGAAAATTCAGTTGCTCCACACGGTGTCTGCTGAGCATTCGTGTCCTTACAGCAGATTACACCAGGAAACTCATCGACCACCTGGGGCCCGGAGCATGCTGGGTCTCGTTCGTGCTAATATCATTAGTGTATGAGTCAGATCGCACCGGGTGCATGTTTCTATGGTAACTGGGCAGCACTACCCCCATGTTCACCTTTACACGGTGAGAGATAGTTTTGAATAAGTACTAAAGTGAGGAAACAAAAAGCCATAAGATTTTTAAATTGTGTTTAAAAGCTTAAAACAGTTTAAAAGCTACAGTTATGCTTAATTTAAAAAAATCTAACTTAAAAATATAACATTCAATAGGTAAGTAGTAATCAAATGAGACCAAACATCCTTTTAAAGTAAATATCAGCCTATTCTGTGAGTATGTGAAGTACTCACTGTGGCATGGGAGATGGTGAGGATGCCATTTTTCACTGAGCACTTCCTCCTCTGCCACACCTTACGGATCCTGAGAATGAAAATCATTACACCCATCCTTAGAATCTCTAAGATGGCTTGGTATTTGGAACAAAGGAGGAAAATGTGAAATGTTTTTCTCCTTTGGAACAAAGGAGAAAAAGTGATGCTTGTTTCTTACCAAATGTTGGTTTATAGTTCCTAAACTCATAATTCCCATAAACTACAAAAAATATATTTATTTGATATATTTTTCATAGAATACATTTTTATTACAGGTTTAATTGGTTCAACACAGAATTGTTGGAAATTAATTGGAAAAAACAGAATTGAAAAAAAACAACAACAAAAAACGTAACATTGACAATTGAAGTTAGTTGGACTTTTTTCATGTTTTTGTCTTCAAGTCTTCAAGTCTCACACACTAAAGCAGCATTTACATAAGAAAATACAATATAAACAGTAATATTGTGAAATATTATTACAATTTAAAATAACCTTTTTCTATTTTAATATATTTAAAAATGTAATTTATTCCTGTGATGGCTAAGGTGAATTTTTATCTTTACTCCAGTCTTCAGTGTCACATGATCCTACAGAAATCATTCTAATATGATGATTTGGTGCTCAAGAAACATTATTATTATCAGTGTTGAATGCCGTTTAACGTTTTTTTATGCCGTTTATCGTTTTTTTGCCGTTTATCGTTTTTTTAACAGTGTTTATTTGAAATAGATTTTTTTTAACATTATTAAAATCTGTCACTTTTGCTCAATATACTAAAAAAAAAAAAAAGTAAAACATGGGATATGTGCCATTAATGCTTTTAAAAGAGTTTCAAGGGGAGTGCCTAATGATGCATCTTCTACGGTAAAGCATCGGGATGCCTGATGTTTATACTGTATATATTTAAGTGACTTGACACTTTAGAGCTGGAAGAAGCAGTGATCGGAAGCTATGTGGTGTTGAACCAATCAATTACAGTGCAGCCAATTCCATTAGACACAATCAAGAGACAATTAAGTCACATTACTCATCTGACTACATTTCACATCAGTGTGAGAGCTCACCCATCACTTTTCTTGAAGAGATAGCCCTTCTTCTCACAACCAAACTCCTTATTGCCCTGCAGCTGGTGCATACTGTAACCGCTCTGCTTGCTCTGAGAATCCTGCACATCACAGCAAAAATATTCAAAATCTAATGAATAACCCGTACCGAGCAAATTAGCATAGCATGCAATTATGTAGTAACTGAAACCTTATCATAAAGAGAAAAAAAGTGTGATCAAAAGTCTGAGAATACATTGAAAAGAAAAAAAAAAGGATTTTAAATAAAGAAACAATATGTAAAATGAAGAAGAAATATTCAGTATTTTATTCTAGCACCAAATGTAACCACAATATGATAATAAAATTCTATTGTATTAAAAGAAACATTTGCGCACACAGTACATAAAATAAAATCAGAAAAGGAAAAAAAAAGTCAGGCAACACTAAACGTCACTTTTATGAACTTACTCTCCTAGACTTCAGTTGGAAGGCAGTGAAAGAGAAAGGAGGAAAGGAGTCAGAAATGCAGATGTCAGATTATTGTTATTGCAGCGTGCGTTGAATAAAAATAAGAGCAAACCTAGCGTTGCAATGTTCACAGCAGTGTCCCGAGGATAATACAACACAGGGCATTGTTATTCAATCGAGACCAGAAACGTCCGGTTCAAATGGACATCAACTCCAAACAAAACACATAAAAGATCAAACGCTGGGCTCTACAAAAGAGCTTGTGTTGTCACTGTCTGATCCTCATGTCCACGTTTCCTCTCTCTCGTGAGAACATGTACGCTCGCACACAAACACTGAAAACCTACTTCACAGTCTCTCAGAGGCAGTAAATGTCAGGACAAACTGTATATGAAAAGCATATTCACATCTGGACTCATTCATATCTTCAATGCAGAAAACCCATTGTTGCAAGACATGTATGGAAGTGATTGCACTATTCTGATAGATTACCCTCAGTGATCAGTCAAAGACGAAAGGGTCTCATTAAGTCTTTGCAGATTAAAGGCAGAGGTCACATCCTCCGGTGATGTACCTACCTCTTTCTGGTCCAGTTGTAAGGACGACTTGATGAGGTCTCTGAGAGCTGTGAGTTGTTTTTTCTCTTCGTCCTGGGTCTGTTTGATCTGACAGTACAGATTTACAGTGTTTCAATATGGAGAGAAATAAACAATATAAAACAAACAGGCTGCAATTTCCTCATTTCAAGATGTCTGCATAAGAGAAAACTATTTCTTGAGGAGGCACTGCTAGTAAACCTTTATTACTTTTTCAAAGGAACAGTTGGATTGAGCTGTCTTAATATGAGATCATATTTCACTCATAGACTCACATATTAATAACGCTTATGTTTTATGATATCATATTTAATATAATCATAATGTTCTTCTCATAAGCAGCGCTGCATGCATAGTAACAGATCTAAAAACACAACTGAAAACTAAAACAGAAGCACGAATGTAAGGGTTTACTAACATTATAGAGATCAGCTGCTAATTTCTCAATATACTGCTTCAACTTGTCAGCGGTTTTCAAGCCGTCCTGGAAAAAACTGAGAGAAAATACAAGCACAAATGAATGTTCAACACTATGTATACTACCGTTGAAAAGTTTGGGTTGTTATACATTTAATTTGTTTTTAAATTAGTCATTTACGCTCATGGCTAACCAAGACTAAATTTATTTGATCAAAAATACAGTAAAAACAGTAATATCATGAAATATTATTACATTTTAAAAGTTGTTCTTTTTTTAAATTGTATAATATTATACGTCTTTAAGGCTGGAATACACAAATTGTGCTCAGATATTTGCCACGATTTGGTATCTGGATGAGTCGACAATAGTTGCCAAAAGTCTGCAGGGCAGTCGGAGTTGGCAAATTTCACAGAATATCGCATAGTATAAAATGGGCGAGATGGTCCTCACTGCAGAACATGAAATCCATGGGGAGGAGTCGGATCCAGATCCAACTCCTCCCACCTTACATAGGTTCAAGGTTCAAGGAGTCTTTATTAACCCCGAGGGGTAATTTGTTGTGCCGCAGCATATGACATAACACATACACATAAATAAATACAAATACAAACAGCAGCCGTACAAACATTAATAAATAAAATAAAGTTTAAAACACCTAAACAATTACATGCTACACACGGATCTACAACTTACATTGACTTGTTACAAAGGCCTATAGCTGAAGGGACAAAAGAATTTTTATGTCTATTTGTCTTGCATTTAGGTAAACTGAATCTGCGGCCCGACGGCAATAAGATGAAACAACTGTTCAAGGGGTGACTAGGGTCGGCCAATATCGATTGTGCCTTCTTAAGGGTCCTTGTCTCGTATATGACTTTTATATCGGACAAATGGTTATTGGAAATTTTGCCACACACTTTCACTAAATATTGTAGCCTATTTCTATTTTTAAGTGTGATGGACCCGAACCAGCTCACAAGAGCAAAAGAAAGGATAGATTCAATAAAGCAACAATAAAACATCCTCATAAAAGTGTTATCGACATTAAAATTGCGAAGTTTACGATAAAAAAACATACGTTGATGTGATTTCTTACAGATGGCGTCAACCTGTGGCTCAAAAGTGAGTTTGTCATCAATGATAATGCCTAGGTATTTATATTGTTTCACCACTTCTATAGTTTGGTCATTAATAAGAGTAGAAGAGACGGCGTGAGAATTTGTGCTAAAATCAATCAGCATTTCTTTAGTTTTTGTTTCATTAATCTTAATGAAAGACGATTTACACCACTCTGTAAAATCATTTAAAATAGCACCATGCTCAGGGTCGTTATGCGTCAGCAATGACACTATTACCGAGTCGTCGGCAAACTTAATGATATGACGCCCAGTATGCCGGCTTTGGCAAGCGTTTGTGTATAAAATAAATAGGATCGCGGAGAGGACGCAGCCCTGAGGGGAGCCGGAGGAAGAAAGGAGAACATCAGATAGCATACCATTCACTCTTACTCGTTGAGACCTATTAGTTAAGAAATTCATCAACCAACAAATAAGACAGGGATCTATATTAAATGTACCTTTCAGAATCCCTGCTAAAATATGTGGTTGGATACAATTAAAAGCTGAAGAGAAGTCGATAAAAACCAGCCGCACAAAACTCTTTGCATTCTCGAGATGGGTATGAATTAAATTCAAGAGAGTACAGACAGCATCTTCCACACCCCGGTTCGGCCTATAGGCAAATTGAAACGGATCTAGTAGATCTTGGACAGATTTTAAAAGTTCGTCTTTCACGATCTTCTCCAATGTTTTCATAATGAGTGACGTTAACGCCACAGGCCTGACGTCATTAAGGGACACTGGAGATTTGATTTTAGGCACCGGAACAATAATTGAGTCTTTCCAAATGCGAGGAACAGTGTGATGATGCAAAGACATTCTAAAAATAAAACAAAAAATGTCTACGAGCTGTTCAGCACAGTTCTTCAATATACGGCCACCAATGCCATCAGAGCCGGGACTTTTCCTTTCATTTGTACCTCTAAAGAGTGACAGGACCTTATTTCTGTCAATCTGGACTTTACACTGCCCGGGGGCAACGTTATTAAAAACTGACAGCTCCTCACTAAAATCATAAATATCAAAGCGATTATAAAAAGTGTTTAATTCATTAGAGAGGGCAAGATCTGACATACCATTTATGAAAATCGGACCCTTCTTAGGCTGCATCCCCATCATGGCTTTCACGCCGTCCCATGCAGGACGTGAGTTGCCTGTGCTCAACATGTTCTCGACTTTGTTTTTATAATTACGTTTGGCCAGCTTAAGTTCCCTTTTAACTTGTTTTTGAAGTACTCTGTATTGAGACATATCGCCTTGGTTAAAGCTAATGTTTCGTTGATTGATTATGCTTTTGACAGATTTAGAAACCCATGGTTTATTATTTGGGTATATGAAGATGGATTTACGAGGGATGGCTATGTCCTCGCAAAAGGTAATGTATGCAGAAACAGTCTCTGTGAGCTCATCAATGTCCGTACATTCATTTTTAAATAGATCCCAGTCAGTGCAGCTGTAGCATACATACACCTAAACCTAACCAACTCCGCCCCCTGATCCCTAAACCCACCCCTAATCCCTAAACCCAACCTTAATCCTACCCATCTCCACCCCTTGGATCGTGATCCGACTCCTCCCCGTGGATCTCATGTTCTGCATTGAGGTGCAACCGTGATGGGCACAGACTCTGATTTTTTAGCTTCAGACAATGATTCCATAGAGCCAGAGAATATCAAAACATGTTTGATATTTTGAGCTAATTTTAGAACACACATCGTAGTGTATGGTGCGTCAATACTGAAACCAAAGCTGCCCTTGATCAACCAGTGTAGCAATTAAATATTTGACAGATAAAAGTATACTTTTGTATACTAAAGTATACTATACCAAAGTATACTTCTTTTTTTTACACATTCACTAACATGAACAGGCGAACCCGTCGCCTTTCAAAGTTTACTCCATTTGATGGCATGTGCGAACGGAGGCGGTTGACACATGCACTCCAGAAAGTTTCATCTTATTCCAGAGTCTGTGCTGTTTTCTCCAGACTTATGACCAGTACAAATGTCTAAAATATGTTTAGATTTTAAGTCGTGTAGTGTATTCCAGCCTTTAACTGACACTTTTGATTAATTGAATGCATTCCCAGCTGAATAAAAATACTAATTATTTATTTTCTTTTTTTTTATCTTACCAACGGTTGTATACATTTAATAACTGTGTGCAATTACAAACTCTTTAAAGATAATATATCTCAATTTAATATCAAAATACTGAAATCTTAACTAATCTGGGAGACATTTCTTAGGAATACCCATAAATCAGGAAAAAAAACGGGACTCTGGGACACTCACTTGCACTGTGCATGATAATACTTGATGAGATTCTGGAGGAGATCCACTCCTTTCTTGGTCTTAATCTCATTCACTTTGATCAGGTACTGTTGGGAACCACAGATAATAAAGCATAGAGACATTGGTTTGTTAATAGGAAGGAACTTCTGAGATGCTGCTCCCTTCTAAACACAAACACACTTGCTTTGAAGTGGTTAAAGTGGCTCAACTATAAGAATTGTGTTTTAATGCTCCACCCCAACACATCTGGTTCAAACCGAAATATTGAGGGGGACACTTCAGCCTGCATCAATTGATATTATACACATTTAATGACTTGTATTTTAAGTTTCTTTGTATATTGTTTAAATTATGAAATCCAATTTCAATAAAAGCAGTTTTGATTTGTTTGAAGTGAGCCTTGAAAACTATTGGTTATGATTCAATGGTTTGTTCTATGTAATTTACTGTTAAATTGTTGATATACAATTTTTTGTTTGCATCTCAAAGATGACCAAACACAGACCTGATATCCAATTCAATACATCTTGGAAATATATGTGTACAATATTTATAAAAACAGTAAAATATCATGTAAAACGTGATCAAACATAAAGCTGGTCTGTTATCTTGGTATGTCTGTATAAGCATATTCTGCACCTGATTATAGACCATTTCACAAGACGTAAACAAGACTGGTCCAGAAGCACTTCCTGTTTCAGTTTGTAACTGTTTTCTTTATTTCACATGTAAACAAACATCTTAAAGATGTTTAACTTTTTATTCAGTTTTAAATGTTCTGTTGGTTGTATTTTATCCCAGGTTTTTTTGCATTGTTAAACTGAAACAGGAAGTGCTTCTGGACCAGTGTTGTTTACATCTTGTGAAATGGTCCATACAAAGCCCACTGTTTTAAAGGCTTGCCTCATGAATATTAATCAGGTTGTGTTAATGGATAGTTCAGTAATGTTACCTAGCAACGTCACAACAGCCAAATTAATATTCATGAGCTAAGACACTGTCGAGCAATGATGTCTCAAACAACTGCTTCAAAACTTGCTGCTGGGTGAAAAATACGAACACATCAGAAGATCGCCTGGCCTTTCACAACACCTCAAGTTAGAGCAGACATCATGGCAGAAGAGAGCAAGGAAACAACCTAAAGTTGCTGAACAATCAAAACTAGCCGTCAAGCTAACTTTCTCGAAAGAACGAGGAGGAAAGAGACCGAAAGTTTAAATCCTCATGCCCACACACCTCACACATCTGCAGTTGAAAGATCCTTCGCTCCTTCTCCATCTCTTCTGCGATCTCTGCGCCGGTGATCTCCGTACGGATCATGCCGTGCTGCTTGGCATGTTCCCTCTTCTCCTTCTCAATCTTCGTGCTATGGCGAAAAAGACAAGAAACAGAAGATGACAGAGAAACAATAAGCAGAAGTTCAGACAGAGGTTACCGCAAGTGGCTCTTTCACTATGATGATAATGATATATTGTTGTGCTTGACAATAAAACTGCTGTACGTCGCCACATTTCATTAAACAACATTTTATATATAGCGGCCAAAGAATAAACACATGATAATGATACTCACAACTTGGTCTCATAGTCTTTCCAGGCCTTGTCGAAAGGCTTTTTAAGATCCTGTGTTGAGGAAAATAAAATAAATAGTGCAAGGAGCAATTAGGTTAACTGTGCAGACTGTTATAGACCATTTTCTACATTTTCTATATTATTCAACATAAAGAACCACAAAGAAATCATCTACATCAAGAGATTTGATCAGAACACTACTATAAAAGGCTCAGACTGCTGATGTACAGTAGTGACTGACATGGACTGCGGTAATGCAATTTCTTTATTATCAGATTTTCCCACTCTCAGGAACCTATTCTCTAGACTTAATGACGTTATCCACTTTCCAACTACCCAAATGTTCATCTGCTCAAATAATAATGGATCATGAAACACACACAGGTGTTTTGGCTGAGTCCTTTTGGAGTGTGTTACTTTATCTGAAGTGTATCAGTTTGCTGGATTCTTAGCAAGGGTTTAAGCACGAATGTGTTCACAGCATGAATATACAGTATTCCTACTACCTGTTACACCAACCTGAAAATTTCAAAGCACTGTTTCAAAGTTATATGGTTCATAAACAACAAAAACAATAACTTTTTGTCCATTTTGAAAGGGCAAGTAAAAAGCTGAACTGGTCTAACTGGGCCAATAGAAAAAAATTATATATTGATGGGCACAGGTAAATGTGACATTTATTACAATGGCTTTATGTGAAGATTGTTTTAAGTTCACTTAAATTTAAAGCTGTCATATTTTATTAAAACCTAATACATGTTAAAATTGATAGCTTTCAATTATACTGTTATGCCTATAATTAATGGCTATAATTGAGAGAAAATCTATTTCATAGAGACATCAGTAGCAGTAATGATATCAGTGATGCCTTCTTTCATAAAAAGATGCCATTAAACAAATATTTAAAATATAGGCGACTGTCTTTATGTTGTCTCTAAATTAAGATTACTTTTTCACATTTTAGATTAAATGTGACAAAAAATATAAAGATTGTTACAATATAAAATAAAAAGTTAATGCTAAGTGAAATTAATCACAATTAATTACAGAAAAATGTGTGATTGTTTTTTTTTTTAATCGATTGAATCGATTTTAATCAAGTTGCGCTTTGGGCGCAAATAGACTGCATAGACTGCACTTTTATGGACTTCAAAACAGATACAACCAGTCGCTGCTATTAGAAAGCTTGGAAGAGCCAGGACATTTTTTATATAACTCCGACTGTATTCGTCTGAAAGAAGAATGTCATATATGCCTAGGATGACTTGAGGGTGAGTAAATAATGGGCTAGTTTTAATTTTTGGGTGAACTATTCCTTTAAGATGCACTGAGTGAGTCCTGGTACAGGAGCATTGGCGTATGTGCTTGTTAATGGGTTATTATGAGGCATCTGTTCCACTGTAGGAAAGATTTTAGAGAGAGCTGATAATGTCCTCCAGGGACTGCACTTATACCCTTCAACTGCCTCTGCCTCTGTCAATAAGGGCTTTAGAGAACGGTTTCGTTTCCGCTGAGTAAGAGGGTGAAAGAAAGAGAGAGACAAAGTATGAGTGAGATAAGAGAGTGAGAGAGAAAGAGTGGGGGCTGGAAGGTATGTAACCTCTGTCTACTGAGCAAAAAAGTGAAGCCTCATCACTTCTACTCAGAAATTCAGCTGATGCTGCTGAAGCTCTAAGCCTGGGTCATGCTAATGTAAAAACAATCAGACAGCCCTCCCAAAACAGCTCAGTGTGAGACGGCCCTACACTTAGTGCAAGTCATTTTCACAATCACTACATATCTGCCTTCAAGCCTGAGACATCAAGCCTGCTAACAAGAGTGGTCAGTCTGACGCCTGAGCTCTATCCTCCAGTCAACCAGTAAACACTTCAAACCGACTGAGTCAAAGGGTGTTAAACACTCCCACAGTGTTTACTAGCACTAAATGTGGCCATTCCTTCAGCACTGTGTTTCATAGATGACAGTGGCATGAAGAACCCTGTAATTTAACTCCAACGTGATTTACAGTGTGCATTTTTTGGTCCAAAGGGACTCATTTCAGACCAGTATGGGGCAGTAAATCAGGGTGTTCCTCAGAGAGGGTCTTTCCAATAAGTTCAGTCCAGAGACAGGGATGTAAATCTTACCCCCTTCACTCCCTTCAGATCTCCTTTGAGCAGAGAGTCCAGGGTGAAGATGACATTGTGGCTGAGACTCTGGAGCTGAGGAGAAAAGGGGGAAAAAATCAGAACCAGTTTCATACAGCTTATGATCAAGAAAACACACTACATGCACTGTACAAGAATGGTAATAGCCAAATTATAAGCTTTAAAGGACTATTTTAGGATATTTATAAAAAATGAAATGTGTGTGAATGTCAAAATTGCTGTTACTTTCTAAATGTATTAGTTTAAACATGCTTTTTATTTGTGAATGTTTGTTGGTTTTAAAATATAAATAATCGTGACAAATGCTTTTAGAAAAAATGCTTTTATAATATTACAATACATAAAAACATTTTAATTATTAATACATAAAACAGTACATTATCCCTCACCAGGTTCTTGAGGAGTGCAGCCAGCTCCTTGATAAGGCCAGAGAACTTGATGAAAGCTGTTCCCAGATCAGAGTTATCTCGGCTGATGAAGTTGCTGCCAAACTTGTCGAGTGCCTGCCCATAATTCTCTTCATTCTGCACATGATCTGTAAAGAAAAACAGACCATGCATTTTATGAAAGAATTGAAATATACTTTATTCAAAGGTGAAGGGTGTAATTTCTTTCATCACCAATGGAACTGCAAAAATAATGACTTAAATACTTTTTTGAAACACGTTCCTGGACATTTTCAATTTCACAGTGGACCCTTTTTTACTTAATAAACCTATGAATAAACACTGTCTTGTCTGTAAATGTAGCTGAAATAGGAGAAAGAAAGTATTTTGAGAAAACAAAACATTCAGCTTCAAGAATGTATTACCCTACCTACTGGTTAACATTAAACCATACAACTAATAAAAAATTACCCAAGAGGATGGAGTTATGTCATATAACACACACACAAAAAACATTTTAAATAGCATTCCATGTGGAGGAAGAAAACAATTCCTCAATTCCCTGCACATCTGTCAACTAGGGCAGCTTCCTGTGTGAATCCCAGCCCACAGGATGTCAAGCTAACCAATAATAGCCCTTTTAATAAACATATGTGCAAAAACTGCTCCTCACTGGGCACAGGTCAACGTCATCAGTGCCCATCGGAAAATAATCCAGGTGCCCATTCACAATGTGTCCATTAAATAAAACGTAAAACAACAGTCTCTTGTGTAATAAGAAAAATGAAGAGAATTTCTAACATGACCATCTCTAAATATGACTTTAGTGCTGTACAAGTTTAGGGTCTCCATACTGATCTTTACTTTGAAAACACAGTATGAAGACCACATCATCTGGTATTGCTTCATCATCTTCCCATATCTGCACACTGGGACCCCAGCCCATGGCACAGTGGCGTTATTAGGTCATTTGTCTTGTTGAGTGGAGCTAAGAGATCTGGTACCCTGAAATAAGGGGGCTGTCACCTTCTCTAAATGACCAGATGGGAAGTTTTACTGCAGCCGTTATGGACTCGACAGTATTGTGCAAACAACCCATGAACCAAAAAATAAATAGATGAGCTAATTTCTGACAGTTTATGTCTCCTATTTATGAGCATATGAATCTCTCCTAAATTCATATATCTCCACTCAAAAGATTGGACGGACATAGTTATTCTTGTTTATACTATTTATACTATTTTCCACATTTTAGAACAATAGTGAAGTCATCAAAACTATGAAATAACACAAAAGGTCTAAGTGTAAAATATATATATATATATATATATATATATATATATATATATATATATATATATATATATATATATATATATATTTGTATAGTCTGATCTGTGAAACACTGACTTGTGATAGGAGCTGTTTAAATAAATGTGTTAGTAGAAGTAGTATTTTTATTTTTTTGTTTTTTTATAAAAAATGGGGGGTCCGAAAACCAGTCAGTATCTGGTCTGACCACCATCTGCCCAGTACAGTGAAAACCAGGATTCATCCATTCATCAAGAGAACACCTCTCCAAAGTGCCAGACGTCATCGAATGTGAGCATTTGCCCACCCAAGCCAATCCTGCTGTCTAATCAGCATCTGGAAAACGCCACAGCTGTGAGGTGGATGGATTATCTCAGCAAAGGAGAAGTGCTCACTAACACAGATTTAAAAAGATTTGTGAACAATATTTGAGAGAAATAGGCCTTTAGACAAAGAAAAAGTCTTAGATCTTTGAGTTCAGCTCAAGAAAAATGGGTGCAAAAACAAAAGTGTTGCGTTTATAATTTTCTTAAGTGTAGATGCAAAAAAAGACTATAAAAGCAAAAAAGACCAATCGCCACACGGAGACCCAGTCATATCATAATATATATATTTTAAAAAAGATCATGATAACCAAACTCTTAATCTAGACTTTTAGGGTAAACACAGGTGAACATGGTCCACTGATGTCAGTAGAAAAGATAAGTAGATCATCATACCATGCCACAATTGGATTAAAAAGTTACAGACAAGACTGTGAGCAAAGTGACATGAGCAGACCTCTGAAATTCAACAGAGAACAAACGCCCCATGCCAAGTGTCAAGAGCTCAGGTATTAATCATCTGGAGCTGATTAGAGTGCTTACAGTCACTGATTAAACAGGATCATGACACTGGGGCCACCTGCAACACACACAGCAGAGAGTGGATAACACAGCGGGAGCCAGTTTACATCCTCTGCCTGCTGCACACAGTAAAATACACTGCACACTTCAGGAAGACAGCATCACAGAGCGAAGTGATGTGCAACATGAGCGGCTGCTTTCATTAACAAACTGAAAAGGTGACATTTCTGCAGCTATTTGCTGAATCATGATGGAGATGTCCCTGTATTGGTCAACAGGCGTAGAGGCTGTGTGCTCTCTTAGGAATACTGAGGTCAGAGAGAGGTCAGCCAATCAATCTAATCAAGCGCTGCAGCTCACAAGAGGAAGTCTTACATATTGAATCACATGACTTAAATCACCACATGTAGTCACAGCCATGTCCTATTATTAGTATAACAATCAAAGGCAACGTAAGTTCATATAACGGCAATGTAAGCAAAAGGTACATTTGACCTGTTAAGTGGAACTAAGCGAGCTGGTAACCTGAAATAAGGGGACTGTCACCTTCTCTAAACAAACAGATGGGAAAGTTTACTGCAGCAGTTATGAACTCAGAGGAACAATCTGTGGGAATCTCAGTGTGATAAAAGTGCTCATTCAAGGTATTGTGTAAACAACCCATGGAACAAAAAAATGTAGTTTCTCATTTCTGACTGTTTGTCTTTGTTATGAGCTTATGAATCTCTACCAAATGCATACACGTCCACTCAAAATATTGGACAGACATATTTATTACTTAAAATAACACAAAAGTGATCAAAACAAATTTCCTTTCTACAATGTTTTTTCTCTCTCTCTCTCTCTCTCTCTCTCTCTAATTATATTATGAAGGACTTTGAGACTTTGGCCATCTTCACACAGCAACAGAATATGTTTTTTAGTCCTGTATTTAAGGAACTTATTATGGAACCATTTACACACATTTCAGTAATTTACTGGAACGACAACTACATTCTCTGCGCTGTGTGAATGGAACCGGACTGGACAACTGGTTGTCTGTTACGTCATACAGTGTGGGAGAGTAAAAATGTATTAACAAAAAATAAATTTGTTAATAATAATAATCATTATTTCTGGAATTTCTTGAAAATCATTCTTCTTTTCTGAAATGAAAGCCCTGTATAATTAGTCTGGTTTTGACTCCAATCAAATGAATTTCTCAAGACGTTCGACCGTTTGATAAAAATAAAATAAAAACTCATAGCATGTTGCTGATAAAATATAAGCACAAGATATGACAACTGCCATAGTCATCTATCTGGATGTGTATGGCACTATGGCTGTAGCTGTGCATTGCAATCTTTCATAGTCTTTTTATGCTTTTATCATCATGTAGTCGGCCATTGTGACCCATCTCTAGGTCACACAGCAGCAAAACACAGATGTCTGCCCTGTTTTAGAGTCCTAAATATGCTTCTATTCAAACACTGTTCGTTTCTCAATCTCTAGCCCTGATCCCTTCTCAACATGCCTATGTCTTTGTCTATTTCAGGTCCACAAGAGAAGCCTGAGTGTAAACATTAGGCATTATGAAGCCCTGATCAAACAGCCATTAATATTTGGCATCTAGACTGTGAGCTTGGCAAATAGTAGCGATATGACATTGAACACTTACAAGCTGATAATGCGACTGCATGAGCCAGAAACCACTGTGAGATGTTACTTATGGAGGATTGATCTGGAGGATTTCCTGACCTTTCATGCTGATTTACCCTAGAGGGCAAGTAAGCATTTGAGCTTGCCAAGACAGAATGGGGGAAGAGACAATAGGAAGGAAGTGCAATGGCAATTCCCGTTTCCATGGTAACAGCGACTTCTTACTTCAGGATTGTGGGTTAGATTGGTACTTCACCATGAATGTGCCAATTAAACCCAACCACAACCACACATTTTATCAAAGATTAAGGCCATATTTTTATTTTTCACAGAACTTTACTGTTGAAGACCCTCAGCTGGGTCAAAACTCACCTTGACCCGAGTTGTAAATAGCTTTGACGGATTTCTTGACCTTTTGTAAAGCTGTGCGGTCCTGGTCCAAAGCCTGGAGAGACAGAGATAAAGAGAAGAGAATGGGGTGATTAATATAAAACATGGCTAAAAAAGGTCTGTGATTCATTTATGATTCATGATCTTAGAATTCCAAAGCAATCACATCACTGGCCACACCTATCCGAGGAGCAAAACCAAACATTGGGAATCCTATAATCACACTGTAACCATGACAACACAGCAGATGGAAAGTCTTGAAGGAATTTCCAATGCTTAGATGGGCCGACAGGTGGTGAAAATTTCAGATATATTCTCTGTAACACCAAATTTTGTAACAGAAAAGCAGCTTATACGCTTGTGGACATATTTAAACATTAAAAATATATTGATTAAAAGTAATCCAACTAATAAATAAACATTAGACAAAATCTCCTCAGACAAGACAGCATGGGGTGGCTAAATGAGACGGTACACAACTTAACATAATACCACGACAGACCCTTGACATGCAGTTTCCAAGAAACCACAGCACAGGATGGGGCGAACCCCTCGACCGCACTTCATTGTCATCTTGTGGATATCATTTCAAAAATCAAAACCGCTGTGAAACTGGAGATGCCCCTGAGGGTCTCCGCTTCTGGAAATCTCCTTTGGAAATATTAATGCATGTCAGTAAACAACAAGGTGTCAACGAATCCTGTTTCCTTTCCTCTATCTATTTGTTTCAACCCAAATCTGAACTCCTGGGAAACATGCAACATTTCCTGTATGTGAACTCTTTGCTTTACTCTTTTAGACACTTTGAACTTGTGTCCTGACTGATGCCCTCCTCCCTCCCCAATTCTATCTCTCTGGATGAGAAGGAAATTATGCAAGTGAATGGAATACAGGCAGGCTGACTCAAGAGCAATTAACTTGTTATCGTGGGGAAAAAGCAAATATATATGAATATATTGTATTTTGCTAATTTAATTTGTTAGTCACGGAAAGCAGATTGAGTGCATTCATTGAACATGACCAACAGGCTCTGCCATTCATACTGTATTCATGTGCTCTGTTCCAGCTGGTGACTAACAGATCACAGTGACCAATACAAACACACCCATCCCAAACACACACACCCAAATGTAACCAAAAATAATCTTTTGAGTTTTTAAAGAAACCCTTCAATTGTGATTAATGAGAAAGACCAGAGCTTAAGGCCACAATTTAAAACAAATCCTTCAACATTCACGACGGCTCTCTGAAAAGACCATAGCTGACCCCATGTTGAAGACCCATCATTTCTCTTGTTTGCTCAACCATTGAGATATAAGGTGAAGGGGTGGTCAAAATCCCTTGCCTCTTCAGTATATATATCATAATATCATTTTAAATGATTATGTATTTCTTTTATAAAATCAATAATTAAGTATATTCATTGTTACTTAATCATTTATTGACATAAATGTATTCTTTGTGCTTTTGCTTGTGAAATAATATTCTTAAATGCATGCTGATGTACATGCACAAGTCACCAGCTTCTTTTAGGTGCACAAGGCCATTTGTCTCTTTCTCTGGTCTCAGGAGAAAGGTTTATGGATCCTAAAGGCGTCGTGAACACATATGTCCAACACATATGATACTTCTCTGTACAGATGGTCAAGTTATATTGAGCATTGCTATTGAACTTTAATTGTTATATTAAAATGTATTCTTTCTATTATATTTGCTTTCTGAGGAGCAAATGTTATCTGTTTTTCTCCCAAACAAGTGAATGTTTTACCATTATGTTTTGGTACACTTAACTGATAATAAGACGCTCAGACTCTCTTCAGCCTTGATAGGAGCTCTTATTTGCTAGGGTCCTATGTGAATGCGTTAACAGTGAAAATAATAGGGAAATAGGGATTTTGGTTTACGTTTGAGTGTTAAAACATAAAGGGGTCATTGAATCCAACAGTTTAAGGCACTATTTCTTTGTTGAAGTCTTACTCCAGTTAGACTAAAGTTTAGTGTTAGTCTTCTTAGTTGCAGGTTAAGGAACCACTGCCATTATTGGAGGTTGAATGAGTTGTTGTTCTGGACACACTGGCGCCAGCAACCCAAATCTGTGACCTGGAAGGTCATGACGTGCTTCATCGATGGAGATATGTTTCGTCTATCTGTATATGTGTGGAAAATTACTGTGTTTATCTATATCGTAGCCAATGAGAATCATTCAACGTGTAAGCAATGATGTAGCTTAGACCTTGGAAACAGTATAACTGCTGTGATCTTTGTAACTGTAAGGGGCGGCCTACGAACTCCTGAGGGAGTCTTGAAGCTGACTTCTGCTGATGAAATGGCAAACTATGTTCAGTAAAACTTTCTTTAATTTTTATAATTCCGACTCCGGGTCTTCATTCTTCATATCTGGTTCTGGGTCCTTTAACTGTTAACCCCTAACAGTTTGGTGGAGGATGCGGGCAATTATTCTCGGTGACACCCCTGGCAAATCAACAAACAAGGTAGTAAGCTTTTGTTAATTGTTAGGGCTGTCTGACTGGAAGAGATTTTGAAGGAGGTCGGGAGAGTCTTCACTCCAATGAGGCGAGTGAAGAAGTTAATTATACTAAAGTTTAAAGTATAAAATGAAGTCGCTGATAGCATTGTTTAAGGTTTAAAGTTAACAAGAGCAGACAGCGCAAGTGAAGCGTGCTTTGTGGGGGCCCCACTGGGCCTGGGCATTGTTGGTGTAGCAACACCCCAGCAAAGTACGTCCCTGGATTGGGTTTAAGTTCCAGGGCACCGCGAACCTACTCTATCTCTTCCATCTCAGATAGGGGTACCCCGAATTTAGTGGATTAGGCAGTTAGGGATACTAACAAAAACAGGGTTGTTTGCCAGGGATGCATCAGGAACGATTCCGGGGAAGAAAAATAAATAAAAAGTTGGGACCCAAATTGGCGTGGACCAGTATATGTAACTGTGATTTTGTAGTATACTTTGCAGTTTCATCACGCAGAAGCCAAGCTGAGTTGTTCAAAGATTGCCGCCTCCATTTCTGCAATAACTTCAGGTGAGTATGAACTGTGATTAAGATATGGCAGAAAAATTGGATAACTTAATCAGTAATTTGAACAGTCCTAAAACAAAGAGTGCGACAGAAGAGAGCAAATGCTGTAAACAGCTGTGCTCTGAAGCCCTCACTTTGAAGAAATTTGCAGAAATTATTAAGTAAATGGTAGTCAGGGTTTTGAGTCTGATTGGAAATTTAAATGACAACTTGACTGGTTATAAAGAAACTGAAAGATGAAAATGTTTAGCCTCTTATTGCTAATGATCATTACAAAAAGCAAGTAGAATAAATTCTGGGGCGGGAATAATTTCCCTAAGCAAGTGATTACAGTTAATCTGAAACTTTGTGAAAACAACTTAGAAATAGTTTGAGCATTTCGATGCACCTTCTGAAAATCAATGTTCTGTCAATAATAATGAAGAAGATTATGATTGGGCTATTGTGATTAAATCCGCCACTGGCGGACTGTAAAAGAATACAGAGAACTGCTTATCAGTGGCTCTGTGTGCATTCCTGAATGGGTCCCACACTGCTTCAAGAGTGTGCAATAAGTTGGAGCAGATAGAGAGTGTTTTAATTGTGGTCAGCAGGATTATTTAACACGTAACTGTAAATGCCCACAGAGAAGGTGTTTTAAAATGTGATAACAGACAACACATTTCTGGTATTAATGTGGGTTTGGAAGTAGATCCGTGTTTAAATGACTACATTAACATTTTTCGTCTGAGAAATAAGAGATAAAAACTAGGTCAAGAGATTGAAGTTTTAAAAAGTGAGTCCTTTTGAACAAAAGATCTATAATAGTAATTTTTAAAAGTGAATTGATGAATAGGCCTACAGTTTGATGTAAAATGAATGACTCCAACAAATGTGAGTTGCAAAATATATCAAAGTAACTAAAAGGATGATTGTGTTTTAATTAAACATTTTAAAAAGGTTTTAGATGATATAGAGAGACTAATCACACAGATGATTTACAATAACTGCAAAAGTATCACAAGCAGAGAGTGCTTGCCTCGTCAAAGTTAGTGTGAATCCTAATTGGAGATTGATAAACTCCAAGACAAAACTTAAGTCAAATATTAAACTATGGTTGAGAACTTGACGATTAAAATTGAGATTGAGAAATGAGAAACGTTATTGAGAACTAGAATAATTATTTTTATTTAAGAACAAATAAGCAGAAGCAGTACTTTATTGGCAGTTGTTGAATGCTGATTAAACAAACAACTTGAGAAGTTGACCATGAAAGAACTAGAAGCCGATGTTTAGCTTTCAAAAAGAAAAGTTTGTTTTGGGCTGTAATGTAACAGTTTGCTTATCTGAATCTGATGTGTGCTGTGGCTGAAAACTGCCAGTGCAACAGAGACTCAATCTGAGAGGAAATTAGTAATGCCTAAATTCCCTGATGTGGGCAAAAGACAAATGTAAATAATGTTTATTTGAAACCGTATGTAATTTCTGGCAAAGATGCCTTAAGTTGGAATAGAGTTAAACGATGGGATAAAGTTTGATGTTAGAAGTTTATGAGCGCAGCACCAGTACTGAATCCCTCACAGTCTCTCTCTCATTCAATGTCAGCTAAAGATGTTATCTGAGCCTGTGTCATTAGTGATAATAAGCTATTTGTATTAAAACACAGTGTTTCAGTTGAAGATCATAGACACAGAGATGTTAAGAGAAATCATTGCCATTCAGAGGCAATTTGTATTTTAAATGTTTTAAAAGCAAAACTGAAGGACTTTCAAGAAGTCATTAAAATAATAATAGACGAAACGAAGATACATTTTTGACTAGGTTGTTTGTGAACCAGTAACCTCTTTGTCTGAAGATCTTAGTCCCCACCATGAAACGGGGGCGGGGCTGATGGCTCCGCCTACAGATGAAGTACACTGAATGTACGATTGTGATCTAAATCCACTGAGTAGCTAGTTGCTGCTTTTAAGATGGTTAATGGATTTAAGTGATTGAATACTGTTGTTATTAACCTGTCTCCCTGTGTTACAACTATT